TGCTCTGCTTTCCATTAGTTCCATTGATGTTACTTGTTAGCTACAATATCATTGCTCTCCTATAGAATTCAAGAGATCTAAATTATATATATATATATATATGATTGATACATGCATATATCGTGTGTGTGTTTGTATGGTTAATCTAGCAAAAGTCTGCTGCTAAGGGGCTTCTAAAGGGTCACATTGGTTTTCCTATAAGATGATTTTATCTTTGATGACTTGACAGAAATGCTTATCAAGATACCTAAAGAGGTGTCATGATGTCGTGAAGGTGTAAATAAACAGCTGTAATGTTATTGTGGTGCATAAAACGAGTCAAACCATTTTTTAAATTTCTGTATTTTTAGGTTCAGGTTAAGTTTAAACCAGAGGAACACAAGGGGTTAACACTGGAGGGAGGTTAAAAAGCTCAACATGTCAGAGACTGAGACATGAAGAGCCTTGGTTTAAGCACTTGATGCACACTTGAGTCCTGTAGTTGTCTTTTCATCACTTCCAATTAAATGTAATTGATTTTTATCTCGACACCACCAAGTCACATCTCCACACACTACACATTAACACAAAAGCTGAGAGGAGTAAATGACTGTGCATCACCGTTTTAACATGTTTTGTTATACACTGTACATGGGAAAAGGGTTTTAGTGTCAGCTTGTGTTTTGTGCCCGCCTCCAGCTATGTTGCAGTTTGAGAGGTGATTGTGTTTACATCGATATGTAGTCACACAACAGGAGAGAAGAAGCAAAATCTAAATGAAAAAGAAGTTTTGGAAGGTTAATTGCTTAAAATTGAGGGTTACTCCCTTGTACTCGGATTTATTCGAAATTACAGGACACTTATATTTGCAGAGGCTCAGCGTGTAATTACATACATCAAATAATCTAAATTCAATGAGTATTTGATATGAGCGGAATGTCATTTTGGCAGTAGAGATCCCCGTGGAGATGCCCAGCACGCTGTTTCTGCTGAAACAACTATCCCATCCATCACTTTTTCTACAAATTTATTCAGGGAATGGTTTTGCTGAGCAGCCCGAGCCTACCTCAGCGAATCATACACTTACACATATTCCCACACGTGAGCCTCCCACTGCAATCTCTCTCCCACAGTCGGAGATGTTACAGATCCTGATGCAGATGTCTGGCTGAGGGGGGGTCTTGATGGACGCGGTTGAATTGAAAGTATTCGTCATTAGTTCTTTTTGCAATCACACTTCCATTATGTTGTTATGATTAAATCTTCAACCCTCCAGCTGAGAGCCCGTCTCCTCTAAATCTAGTGCAGTGCTGTTCAATCAGTTTTTTTTGTCGAGTCTCACCTACGAATAATTCACTGAAGCAGAATGATGAGTTCATGCTCAAAAAACAAAACAAAAAAAAACTGAAATTCAGACAGACGGTTTGAAAATCTCAACAGTATCTGATGAGCTGTGTTTAATTCCACAGAGAGAGTATGCACTGTGCATGGTTATGGGCCTCTCCCAGCTACCATTGGGCTAGAGGCATAGCACACGCTGTACAGGTAATCAGTTTTATTTTAAGAGGAATAAGAAACAGCCATTGGTTCTTTTCTATTTCGACAGAGAACCAAGAAAAAAAAAAAGCATTCTTCCCAGAAACCGCTCACACACTGGCATGAAATATGCATGGCCCAAAATGTGAGGGCTCCACAGCAGGTGATTAAAACTTCCCATCAGTAATGTGAATTAAATGTGTGCTGTCAGAACGCTCACCACAGCCTGTTTACCCTTCTGCTGTGTGCAAAGTGATCCAGAAGGATCCTCTGCTGTGCCGCTGAGCGTTCTGCTTCCTCAGGCTATCAGACTACCCAATTCATCCTCAACAGTTCCTACTGAAACCTAGTTTATTTCTCATTATTTATTCATTCACACTGTATATTTATGTGGATGTACGTACACTTTGCTCTTCCTATTTTTCGATTCCCAGCCCTGCCATTTATCAGAGACCCTACTAGAATAATAACGTTGCTACGGAAAGAGATGGAAGGCACTGATACAAAGACAAAAAAATGTCATGTGTGAAGGGTTTCCCCCCACGTCTGGTACACTGATGGGGGGAAAGAGCTACCACCCAGATTGAAAAACAAGGAGAATCCAGGAAAGCATGTACGTCATTATGTCAATGTTATTTTATAGTTACTTCCTATGTACTTCTGCACTTTTTTTAGCTGTAAACATGACAGAGTGCATCGGAAATGGACTCAAACACATCAGGTCAAGGCCATTTCTGTTGCTAACACACTTGCTGCTCAAAAAAACAAGATGGATGAATCCAAAAGTGCAGGCACAAACATGGGGAACGTGACTTGGTAAAAACTTAATTTATGATTAAATAACAAAAGGCTCAGCCAACCTGTAAAGCCTGAAAGTGAACTGGAATGAGTAGGCAACAAATAAAACTATGATAACCCAAATTCAGACTCGAGGAAAACCTGAGGGACATGAAATGCAGAATCCAAGATGCCACCAAGTATAAAACCATGAAGACAATGGCTAACGGGTAACAAAACCTGTTTCCTGTTATGTAAAGTGTAAAGAACAGTGAAACGGCAGGAATGACCAGGATTTTAGAAACTAAGAACATGAAGCAAAACAGAATGACTAACGAAAAAAACTTTAGAAAATCCAATTTTTAATTGCACACTGACAAATAAGTGACAGACATCTCGGCCGTGCATATCATGCAACGTGACATAAAAGACTTTCTTCCCGGGTTTGAAGGACCAGAATGTTGCACGTTTTCTTATTACGACTGCAGCTTTAAACAAACCTCAATCAAAAACCTCCTTCACCTCACATACATGTTCAGGGAAAATGGTGAGTTGTCCCATCACATGGTCAAAAAAAGCCAGACCCTGTGTATGTTGGAAGCTCCTTTTTGGGAAAATGCATGTTTAAAACTGTCTTCAGTAGAGCTTTTTTCAACATATTGAACATATTTTTTAATATTTGAGCCACAACTACAGACTTGCAACAGCAAATATTTAGCACTGCTGCTGTTTCCCTTTTTTTCCCCAATTGATTTTATTGACAAAAACTCTAGTAGGCAGGATAAAAATCAGTTTCAATCTCTGGCAGGCTGTTGTTCGTGTGCAGCAGGAAAAAAGAAGCCCTCATGAGAGATTTTATACTTTCAAATGCAGGAGTTCATTTGTATTCTCCTCTACCAGCTACAGTTTTAGCACCTCTAATGTGAAATGACTTGAGTTGCTGATATTAGCTTTCAGGACATACAGGTTGATAACTTGCAGACAAAAATTGAATAGATAATGAAAGAAACACCACGGCATTTAAAACGAATCAGGACTACCAAAACACGGTGCTTATTTATTCACAAACAGGCCTTCATTACCATATAAATGTATGTGACTTATAGCAGCTTTACTTGTTTGGGTAGTGTCAGAGACAGCAAACAAAAGCCTCATTTCAAAGCAGGCTTCTCTCCTTCAGAGAAAAGCGTTCGGTCGGATTTTTGTTTTTGAGAGCGTGTGTGTTTGCTAGTGGGAATGGTTAGTTGTGAGGACTTGAATAATGTTCAGTAAATACTTTTTTTCCGGTTACAACCGTCATTGTCTTTCTACTTACTCTCTCTCTCTGGAGCCTTTTTTGACAGAAACACAAAATGGCTCACTACTCTAGCTGATGGTTTTTCTGCCTAAAATGGGGCTAGAACAGTGGATAACACAATGAATGAATAATAAGTTGTTTATTCAGTGGCCGGGCCCAGCAGCAGGTCTATGCTGAAATTGTTTGAACCACCGGGGAGCTCACGACTTCCCACCTCGAAGGCCGCGTTTCGCTGTTAGAGAACATCCGAATTAGGGAGGCTGTCAGGGGATCGGTGTTTCTTTCCGAACATGATGTCAAGTGAGACAGATACGGGAGAAGGATAATGTTGTTTTTTTCAAAGATAAGACTTACTAAACTGTTAGCAAATATTGCACCAGACGGAGCTGAGAGCATTTTGCTTTCTCTAAAAAGATGTCAGGAGACTTCTGGAACATCATGTGGTCTGCCTGACTGCTACACACAAAAACAACAGATGATTGACGTTTCCCCTTGCGAAGGGATAGATTAATGACCAAAAATGATTCATTACCGGCAGACATTTAGCTTAATCCACTGACAAAGCTTAAAATGATCCTGAAGCATCAGCCTCCATGCTGTTGGCCACATCCGTCAGGTGGAGCTGCTCATCAGAATCTAATTAAAGATGAAGATCTGTCCATCTTTTTGACTGCAGCACCCCGCGATTTCAACTGATTATTGTTTTTAATTAAAGCTGCTCTAATCAATACGCTGATTTTGACAATTGGTCAAATCCAGGTGTAATTGGAAAATAATTGCCTCCAAGCAAGATGAGAAGAGAATGACCATGTTTCATGTGAATGAAGTTAAGCAGCAGAATTTTCATTAAGATTGCCATGAATAAAACAAAAATTGCCTGTTGCCGTTCATTTGTTTATGCAGTCACTTATCCTCAATCTTGGCTGACATGACAAATGAATCTAAATAATTGACTGGCAAGCTGTTTCTGGTCTAATCCAACAAACACTAACTGACATGACTCAAAGGCATCTTCTCAGATATTATACAGCACCTAAGATGTTTCCTCTTTTTATTCTTCCAGCTTTTATTAGCTTCAAATCTGAGTATTGTCCTGGCCTGTGGTCCAACAACAGAGAAATGGGAGAATGCTTGATTTTTAAGTCAGAAATATTCTCAGAATTGATTCAAATGTACAAGTAAATCTGCTCTTGTTAAATAGTGGCTGTTCTGGCTGCCGTAAGTGAATTTTGTAAAAGATTTACAAAGGTCTGTGGCGTTTCTAGTTTGCTTTGGAACGACCATTTCTGTGCTGCATAATGCTTCATCAACTGGTGCACGCTGCTCCTAACCTGCTGCCATTACCACAGTATTATGTCTCATTTAGTTGACCAATCAAACTGCTTTTACACTACATGCCACATTGGCCCATGGGCACCAGTCGAGCCAGCTACATTGCTAGGCGACTGCTCTTTTTATGGTTCTGCAGCTGCCAAAGTGTAAGCCAAGGGAGAAATCCCACCGAAAACCTGCTTTTGATAACCCGACCTCTGCCTCTCTGTGGTTCCCAGAAATCGGAGGCGTGATCATGAGGCTCCTGTGGAAGTCCATGGACAAGATGAGATGCTTCAGGAAGCGGTCCATGCTCCCAGGCCTTGCCTTCCTTTTCACCTCTGTGCTCTTTTTCAACCTTTACATGGACGACGGATATGTGCTGGTAAGGTTTTGACTTGAAGAATTTGACACTAAACATCTTGTTGGTACTGTTAGCTCAATTCTCTTGTTGGTTTCTGTCATTTTCTACTTCAGGAGGCGGAAAAAAGACAGCTGGGAGAGGCGCTAATTCATCCTCCAAACTCTGAGAGATACGTTCACACTTTCAGAGACCTGTCTAATTTTTCTGGGAGTATCAATGTGACATATCGCTACCTTGCTGGAACTCCTCTGACACGCAAAAGTAGGTATTCATAATCATCCACACATAAGTTTGACTAGTCAGAAGCAAAACGTACATATGAATTATTACACAAATGTGATAGAAGTGACCTTCTTTCACAGAGTACCTCACCATTGGCTTGGCGTCTGTCAAGAGGAAAAAAGGGAACTACCTGTTGGAGACAATCAAATCCATCTTCGATCAGTCCAGTTACGAGGAACTGAAGGAGATCGTGGTCGTGGTCCATCTAGCAGACTTTGACCTGGCCTGGTGTGAGAACCTGGTCCAGGAAATAACACGAAAGTTTGCTCATCACATCATAGCCGGGCGCCTCCTGGTCATCCAGGCCCCGGAGGAGTATTACCCCTCTCTGGACGGGCTGAAAAGAAACTATAACGACCCGGAGGACCGAGTCCGATTCCGCTCTAAGCAGAACGTAGACTATGCTTTCCTCCTGAACTTCTGCACAAACCTGTCTCACTTCTACATGATGCTGGAGGATGACGTGCGCTGCTCCAGGAACTTCCTGACTGCTCTGAAGAAGGTCATCACATCCAGGGAAGGTTCCTACTGGGTGATGCTGGAGTTCTCAAAGCTGGGCTACATTGGGAAGCTGTACCACTCCAGAGACCTGCCACGTCTGGCTCACTTCCTCCTCATGTTCTACCAGGAAATGCCCTGTGACTGGCTCCTCATCCACTTCAGGGGTCTGCTGGCCCAGAAGGACGTGATCCGCTTCAAACCCTCACTGTTCCAGCACATGGGCTACTACTCCTCCTACAAAGGAGCAGAGAACAAACTGAAGGATGACGATTTCGAGGAAGACTCCATAGACATTCCTGACAACCCTCCTGCCAGCCTCTACACGAACATCAACGTCTTTGAAAACTATGACGCCACCAAGGCCTACAGCAGCATCGTTGATGAGTATTTCTGGGGGAAACCTCCATGCACGGGAGACTTTTTTATCATAATCTTTAACAGATCAACAAAAATAAGCAGAATTAAGATTGTGACGGGCACAGAAGATCGACAGAACGACATCCTCCACCATGGGGCTCTGGAAGTAGGCCAAAGGTCTGTGGAGACCAAACAGGGAAGACAGTGCACATCCTACATCACATTAGGAGAGTTCAAAGTTGGAAACATTGAGATTTTCAATGTGGACCACAAGATTGGCTTTGACATAGAGTGTGTGCGGATAGTTATTACAGCTAGTCAAAAAGAGTGGCTGATCATAAGGACTATTAGTCTATGGACCACACAGCCCGTAAGCCAATTAAGAAAGTAAGAAATGACGTTTTTGAATGAATTTCTTTAGTTGATGCAGTGCATTCATTTGGGACTTTTGCTGTTATGTGAATTCAAATCAATCCATATTTTCTTGGGTTGTTTAATGACCGTCTGTAAGTTTTCATTGTGATTTATTCAAATAACTAATGTGTATACATATGGAACCTTTCTACTTGTGTTCATTTTTGAAAAATCTGTTTATAAAAACACTTATGCTCGGTTTAAATCTCCTTTTCTCTGTCACATCAACTGAATTCTATAGAACACACCCTTCAAGACATGTACTTTATGTCTAGTTAAAGTGCTGCTCTGTTTTTTCTGTCCAGGTTTCAGACTTTCTGAATCAATACCAAAATTACTCTTCTGAAATGAAAAATTATATATGACATATTTTTTAGAAATAAAAAAAGGTTCTGAGTTTTTGATCGATGCTGCTTTAAGTAGCTACATAGATATACGTATCTTTGTAAAATTCAAAAAGTGTTTACATTTTGTTATAAGCCCTCCTCTGCCATCTGTTGGTAAATTTATAAATTGGCATGGGGACCATTGAATCACACCTGCCGAAGCAAATGGACAGATTTTTAATACAGAAAATCCATATTTTTGGATTGACAATGTAACCAACCCTCTTTTTTCTCAACCCCTTGCATGTTTACTTCACATTTGTGGTGTGCTGGTTCTCAAACTGCATTTAGATCAATCTTAAATTAAGATTCCATTTTAAATATGCAGTCGCACCATTGTTGTGGTAATGATAAACCATACTGCATTAGTTTTTGCTCCATATTAAATTGTCAATTGTTCTTAAATGCATAGCTAGTCAAATATGTCTATTCACCAAGTTTCTATACCTGCCTTTTTCTAGCAGGGCTGCGAGGGGAACAGCACCATATCCCAGTTTTCAGTGGATGAGAGGGGGGGTACACTCTGGACAGGTCACCCACAGGGCCATACAGAAATGAATTATCTCTCCTAAGGGATATATATGCATCCAATTAGGATTCTTATTGTTGAATCGTGGGAGAAAAAGTGATATTCATGTTTATACAAAAAATGGTCACAAATTTGTCATGAAGAGCTTTGTAATGTGAACAACTGAAAACACAGAAGAGAAAAAAGAAGAAAGTTGATATCAGAAGAGGAGTGTGGAACAACAATTTAACAACTACCATGATTAGAAGAAAGGGGATAGATAGATAGATAGATTGATAGATAGATAGATAGATAGATAGATAGATAGATAGATAGATAGATAG